TATCATATATACTTCTGATACTTCCATAAGCCACTTGTGCTTGCTAAAACAGAGAAGTATTCAGCTGGTTTTGTTGGGTTCAGTTTTGGCTGTTTAAGCACATGAAAGTGCATGCTGACATGGGTGCTATGAACTTCAGGTCCAGCAGAGGATATAGCAGGAGAGAATGTCGCCAGGAGGAGATTGCAGGTGGGGAAAGTATCTGGAACTCCTCTTTGTCTTGATAATCTCATAAATCTTGTGTGCCACTGAACTGACCTGTTGGCTGTGTAGTAAATTCAATCTGAATATATATTTACTGTTATCAATAGGTGTCAGCAGTTTGTTCTTATCCCCTGGGTTTTCTTGGCATTAGTATTTGAATGGAAGCACAGTGAGCCAAACCAGGGAACTGATCTAGTTCGGTGTTACATGAATGCTATTTTTGGCACGAGAGACATGTCAGGGAAACAGAAGCTAGGGTATGAGGGAGGTCATTCTTGTTTTACTAGCTGGATAGATTCATTGGATTGAAATTAGTATCTAACCATGGCCTGAGTGAATAAAAAGCAATTCCCTAATGCACAGGTGCAAAGATAATTAGCGTGAATCTGCTGCCATGGTACTTTGATGTTTCACTTCAGAATCTAAAATTCTACTTTTTTAGCTGAAAACTCTTCGCCTGATTGGAAGAAAATCTTTCAACTCATGGGCTAAATATATCAAAACTAGACATTTGAAATGTTAGAGATTTAGCATTGTTATTTTAAATCATAACTTGTTAACACCACAGTTCAGTTGCATTAAAATAACAGAACTGCCAGTGATTGCCACGCAGATAACATCAGGAGAAACAGTTGCTGAGTCGGGCACAGTGACATCAGACTTCATCTTTTTAATCTGCACTTCTTTTTCATCTGTTCATGTTGTTAAAATACATAGATGTTTTTCTGAAAAGATCTGCAAAGTGAAATAAAGGTGTGGAATACAATAAATAAGGACTGGCATTTTGAAAATAGTGTCTCTAGTCTCTAGCTCTTACTGCTTTGAGAAGGTGTGTGTTATAGGCTGTGCTCCCAAGACTGATGCAGAGAGCTTTTTACGTGATTTAGGATCCTTATGCTGCTGTCCTTGTCAGTACTGGCTAATACTTGCCTCTGATCACTGCAGATAATGAGAATTCAAGGAATGTATTTTCAAAGATAAATAAATTAGGATTGTGATTTGTGTGTTGTTCAAAGAATGGGTTTTGAATAACTGAAGCAGAAATGTTTTTCTAATTACCAGTGGCATATTAGTACCAGATTAACGAGCTGTTTTCAATTGTAGAGTAACTTTCAAAAGTAACTTTTAATATTCTGTGAAGTATGAATAGGTTGTGTTGCTCTGTTTTGGGTTTGTTTGGTGCTTTCCCAATACAATCATAGTCTCTGTGTTGACTCACTCATGAAAACAAAAAGGGTAGTTCCTTCCTCAATATTTTGTAATTTTTTGTTGATGGTTTTGAGGTTTGGGTTTTTTTCCTAATCTTTAAGTACTTGATAGCAAACAACTACAAGTAAATTGTAGTTTATAGGTGGAATAGCTGGGTTTGGGTGTAGAAACAGTTATTTTCAGAGGTAATTCTTAAAATCAGGATTCATTGGAATTCTACAATTTAAGAAGAGTTTGCAAGACACAGGAATTGTAGATAACATATATTAGCTTTCTGGAGTGTTTTCTCAAAAATACTAAAATATCTTTGAACTGCTTCATTTATCATTCAATTATTCAAATGAAACTGTCTTCCAGAACACCTCGACCTGTTGTTGTAGAACCAATGGAACAATTTGATGATGAAGATGGGCTCCCAGAGAAGCTAATGCAAAAAACACAACAATATCACAAGTAAGTTGTGTTTACATTTATTTTATAAAACGTGATCTATGTTACTTAGTTATCTTGATAAATATACACTAATTTTTATTTTTGAGTTTGTGTAACAGGAAGTTGTATTTTGTGTGTTGTGCTGTTTTGTGTCAAAGGATTAAATAGGACCTTTCACAGATTTCCTAGTCCTAGTAAAATTCAGACTTGACTTATTGGTTTAACATCCTGTGCATTTACTAAAGTAGGCAGATTCCTGGCCTACACTAAAATCAGTTGGGCTTGTTGTCAGTCAAGCTATGGTCTTTTCTGGATTAGAGTTGTGGCCTAATCCTACAGAGGTTTGTATACCCAGAGACTTTTTGTTCTCAGAATAACCCCTTAACCATTTGTAAAGTCAGTGGGGTGTAAATCTTTGCAACTTCCACAATTCAGATAAAACTTTGAGCATGACATGAGAAAGTGAGTCTTGATCATGGAGTGGAAGAGAAGTCACCTAATCTGATAATATTAATTTTTAATATTGAAATTTGATTGCCATTTAGAGATCATGTTGCTTGAAGCTAAAATGCTTAATCTGGTAAGGCTGTAGAATACAACTATTTAAAAATGTGTCACTGTTAGTTACAGTATTAGTGATAGAATGTGAAATAAGGTGTTGACACCTTTTAATGTTTAGGGATTCTTGCTAATATTCTGAGCTGGCTAGTAGGCTTTGATGTTTATCTAAATAACTGGTTTTATGAATTGGCTGCTTGCTTTAGAAGGCCAAACACAGTTAATCTAGTGTTGCAGTTTAGTATTTTGTACCGATGTAAATATGAATTTTTATCTCAAAATTATATAAATTGAACAGATTTTTTTTTTACAATTTTGCTGATCATATTACTTGTTTTAACAGCTAAATTAAGCTTTGACTTGTTTAGAATGTAGTAGCCTGACAGGTTGGTTTAAAAGTCAGATCTACACTCGAAGTAATTGTTTATAAATTCCTTGGCTGTAGCAGCTGTTGATCTAAATGTGTCCTTCTGTTCGTTTAACTGCAAAATTTTTATTAGGGAGAGAGAACAGCCTCCACGTTTTGCTCAACCCGGAACATTTGAGTTTGAGTATGCTTCACGGTGGAAGGCTCTTGATGAGATGGAAAAGCAACAGCGTGAACAGGTTGACAGGAACATTAGAGAAGCCAAAGAGAAACTAGAGGCAGAAATGGAAGCAGCTAGACATGAGCATCAGCTAATGCTGATGAGGCAAGGTAAAATCAGATAATCTACTAGTATTAAATTTGTTTTGTCACAGATTTCTTTGTGTAGCATACTAAGATGTATGTTAAACATAGAGGTTTTGCCAAACACTATTTAATTACATGTATTGAACGGAGAAAAAGGAAATCATGTTTCTCCTGACGTGTATTCCTTGATGATTTGCCCAGATGAATTAAGAAACTGAGAAAGGAGTGATTGTCTGAGTCCGTTTTCTTCACTTTTTAAATTTGTCTAGTGGTAGTTTATGCAAATAAATTGGATGATAGCTTCACTCTCATCAGTAAAATTATTTTCTGTTTTTGATGTTGCTTACGGTAGTAGATAAGATTAAGTGCTGCTTGTGGGCCATGTGCAGGAAGAAAAAAATGATAGCTCATACTCCTTTCAGCTCTTCTGTGCACCTCCGGTATGATTTTAAATGTTACAGTAGCTAATGTTACTTTTTTTTTTAACTTTGAAACCCAGCTGAGAAGTCTGATGTATGTATAGTTGTTATGTAGTATGTAACAACTCAAAATAACTCACAGTTGCCATGAATTTCAGTTGTTCTTGAAATTTTAGGATCACGTATCCCTCTTCTGTAGTTGTTTGGACATCTTGTTTTCTCCTGGTGTTGGGGCGGGGGGAGGGAAGGTCCTCTAGCAACTGCTTTCAAGCCCTGTCTTTAAGAATGAAGCTGGGTGGAGCTTGTGTTTCTTGGGCAGAGAGGACAGTAGCAGGGCAAGTATCTGGTACTTTCTGCTTGTTAGCCTTCTCCTCAAAACATGTTTTTCCCAAAATGCTGTGGATGTGCAATCACTGCTTTCCAGTTCAGAGCTTTTGAACTCCTACTAGATTTTAGTTCCTTCTGTATGACTGCTAAATTGCAAGACTCAAGTGGATGAAGTTTAAATATATTGCAAATCTATCAGAAATGATCTCAAGGTTTGTTGTGTGAATGAAGCTTTTTTTTTAACTTTAATTTAAGGGTGATCATGGCTATCTAAAAAAATCCTTATCCCTAAGTGTGCTAGATCGTAAGACAGTACAATAGCTGGCTTGATAGGCAGAATAAGAGTGCCTTGTCATTTTAAAGGGCTTTGAACTTCTAAGTGGTGGATACATTTCAAAACTTACACCCAGATAACTCATACAAGCTGTCTGCTGCAATTATTTGTCTTTAATGCTTACTCTTAAGAAAGGATGTTGATAGTATCAATTCCATGTGTGAGACTGGTTTATCTTTATTTTTTCTGCTGACTTGAATGACATACTGAAAAAATTTATATGAGCTGGATTAGAGTATTCACTAGGTTGGTAAAATTAAAGCACCTAAATGCTTGGATATATTGAATGTAAACCCGTAGTCTTTTAAAATCTGTTTTAAAACATTTCTGTAACTGGAAAAGAGATTAAAAGGAGCATATTTAATTTGTTTTTAATATCATATCCTTAATCTACTGCAACTGAAAGTTGTCATTAGGAAAAAGTTTACTTACCTTGTTTTTTCTAATGAGGCATGCTTGCTTTTAGTGTGAAACCATACTGTTTATGTAAGATCTTGTACTGAAATACAGAGCATAATACAGTAGAAAACTGTCTTGAAATGTCAAATATTTATTGCAGCACCTGAAATGACAACTGTCAAGTTGTTTCTTGGTTTATTTTCCAAGCAAAAAATGTTAAAAGTATTTGTTTTGCATGTAAGCATGGGTGTATCTTACAGTTGAGGAATGTGAATGTTAATGTGATATAACAACAATGCCTATAATACACAGTACAGTTGTGCCCCCCCTTTTCAATTAGACATGTTTTTAATTTTGTGTGTATATGTGACTTTGATATTGGTAAAGGTGGTTTGGGGCTAAAAATACAGGTTGGACAAATTTACCATTAACGATTGTTAATATTTGACAGGGCTAATGATGCAGTTCTAGAACTTCTACTCTTTAATTTTTTTTAGGATTTATCCACCTGTTGCCTGTGCTTGATGATAAGGTTAGGGGTTATTTTTTCCTAAACTGTCATGCCTTAATCATGTTTTAAACTGAGACAAGAAGAGAGTGGTCTGTTTATTAAGACAGAAAAAATCTTGATGGTAAAATGTGGGAGAACAGCTTAAGTATGTTTTGTGGATATTAGAGTTTTTAAAGGACATTGAATAACTATTAAGCTGCACTTTTATATGGAAAAGGAAAAGAATTCCTAGAATTACTCCTTCTGCTGAAGAACCACCAGAATATGAATGGTTTTGGTGCTAATATTCCAGTGAGGAAATACGCTTCTTTTTAGAAGAAGAAGAGGGTTTGTTCCTTCCCTGTTTGGTTAACAGAGTACTTCTTGGTACCTTAAAACTTGGAATTTTGTTCAGATTATTAGATTTCTGTTTTTGCATCTGCAGGTGTTTAATTTGCCAAACTCTAGGTGTTAGTAAACATTCCTTCTCTTTTAATCTCATCAACTCCTCTGATTCAGTGTGTATGAAAATAAGGTGTTTTTTTCTCTTGTATTTATTTTCAGACATTAAGCTGCTTCTAAGTCTTGCTGGTCTTGAACAGTATCTCTGGATAGAAGTTCAGACCGTGCTAAGAATCTTAATAATATTAATGAGATTGCATTACAGGGTTTTTAAGAAAGATGCAATTAAACTTTTGAGGCATCCAAACCTAGAATTAATTTCTTTGTATACCTGATGCGCAACCCATATATTTAAAAGTGAATTGAAGTTGTTATTCTGAAATATGAAATACAATATATTAATTGTCAGGAGCTTAAAAGAAGACAGGAAGGGTGAGCTTACTAGAGTCCATATAGTTGTTCTGCAGGTGAAGGTTTTATAGAAATTGCTTTATGAGAACTAGTAGGACTTGGAACATGTTGGCTTAAGTACTCAGATTTTTGTGGTGTGCTATTAATACTGAAAGTTAACTTCATTCTTTTGATATGTGTAATTATTCACTTTAAGCGTCATGTTTTGACAGATTGAGTCAGAAGTAAATATGTGTTTCCATGTGTAAGTAAATTGGTGTGATGTTTTAGATCTACATATTGGTGGTATGCTTCAGAGTTTTTTAAATATTCCCTCATAATAATGGTTAAACAATTTATGAAAATACTGGAAAATGTGACTGAATTTAACCAGAAGCTTCATTCTTTATCAGTTATATGGAAACTGGGCATTTGTTCTCCATTTCTAGAAGCTGAAAAATCAGCAGCTTAAAACAACTTAAAAATCTTTTTGGACTTGATATTCCTGCTTGTAGGATTAACTTCTGAGGTGAGAGTACACTTTCACCTTCTGCCCTCTGCTCTGCACAAGACTGAGGATAAAATGAAGACCTTGTCCTTTTTAAGCACAAGAAGGTGCAGAAGCAAATAATAATGCTTCCTGTCTTTCTCTGACAGCTGCTTTAGTGCAAGTTTTTCCTGTTCAGAAAAAGGGCCTTGTCCAACATAGATCAGTCCAGAATTACCATCATTGCAGATCTTTTAATATGAATGGCTCTGTGCACAGCCTGAGCCTCTAGATCAATATTTTCATCTGTCTAGTAAGGCTTTGTGCCAATATTCTGCCATTGTCAAATGTTACTGGATCATAAATTGATATGTTGAACTTTAAAATACTAACAATTTTGGGAAAGGCAGTAATTGTATCTGTGCTGTGGAAAAAAACTTAAGATGCCACTGGGAAAATGAGAATGCTACACTTTAAGAATAAAAAGGAGTAAATGATGATTTGTAGCAGTTAGTGGTAGAGAGAAAGTAGGAAATCCTGTGCCAGTGTGTTAACACAAGAAAAAGGGAATGCTACATAAATTTGAAAGACCAAAGAACTGACAAGGAAACATCTTTTCCTACAGTGGACAATATTGAGCATGGAATGGGTCAGTTCTTGATCTCAATAATACCCTGAAAAGACCTAAAGTTTAATTTTAAAAGAAAAAAAAAGTGCACTTGTACTCTGAAATCATCTTAAAGTTATTTTTTTTAAAAAGTGTACTCGTAGTGCTCCCCGAGTATCAGGATAATAGTGGCCAAGCCTTCCACAGAGAGCACAGGTGGAAAGAAGCAGCCTTCAGACTTTGTGATTTGAGTGAATCCTCAATGTAATCATATTCTATTGAAATGTGAAATGTGTTATTTTTGTAGAAGGGACTGGAAAAGTAAGCCTGTAAAGTGTGCTTGAGAAAGGACTTCTGATGTCAGAAAGGATGCTGTGAGAGTAAAAATTGGTAATCATCTCTGTTAGAAAACAAATACATTATATTTTGGTGAAATGTACTGGTCATTGTAGTTGGTTTTGAATATTAAAGTAGAAGGTGAAGTTGTAATAATATATACTGATACAAGTTTGAGAAAAGTTATTTGTATAGCTAAAAAGATGCTCTAATTAGTATAGTGAAGAAATGCATAGAGAAACGTATGGAGTAGTTGGACCGAAGCGTAAAAGGCATATAATAGGTGGTATAGTGGAATGTTCCTAATGGTATCTTTAATATCATATGGGCAGTGTTCTATGAAGATAGAAAAGGCAAACAACTTCCTAACAAAAAGCAAGCATGCATTTCCAGGAAGAAATCAATAATGTGACTGGTCAGAAACTGATACAGCAAAAGTAATTACTATTGTTTGGGACCTGCTTTTTAAGAGCATTTTAAGAGGATACAGCTGTTCTTTTCTGGCAGTGTTAAAGATCAGTCCTTTGTAAATTGCTATAAGCAGAGTCATGTAATAATTATTTATGGAGGCTCAGATTACATGCACCTGAGGTTCACATTGCTTTGCAGTAGTCTGCAATAGGTAGTGGAGTTTATAAATAAGCCCATATATGTTGCAGTCATTTTCTTGCTAGTGTGAATTTAGCAGTACACAGGAAACCAGAATATCGTTTAAGTGTTTGAGAGTTTTTTTCTCCTTTTTTTTTTTGTTTTGTTTGAGGACTTCAGCTTTCTGTTTCCATAACCTGCTTTGAAGGCTTTGCCAGTCCTGTACCTTTCCGTGTTTCTGTGGGCTGTGGATCCAGTGTGTTTTTTCACATACTAGACTTAGCTTTATAGGAAGAAACCAGTTAAATGCATTGAGAAAATTCTTTAAAAATTTAATGTTAGAACTGTAATCTGACAGTAACAGCAGTTTTTTTGTTGCCACATTGCTGATTGGCAGCGTTTATCTTTATTATATTTTTAATCCTGTTAGATCTCATGCGACGTCAAGAAGAATTGAGGCGTTTGGAAGAACTTCGAAATCAAGAACTTCAAAAGCGCAAGCAGATACAATTGAGGTATTTTGTCTTCTACTGTGCAGAGGTGTGGCATGCAGCTGATGCAGGCCTGCGTGAATTTAGATACTCTAGCTTGTAGAGATTGCTTTTGATATCAAATAAAAATGTTTATTTTGCTGAAAAGTTGCTTTTTAAAAGCATAATATGTGATGTTTCTGTTAATGTTCTTCAACAGAACAGTGGTCACTTATGCTAATATAAAATAATGGTTTCAAGTATTTCTTGATTTTTTTCATTTATTTCAGCTTTACTAGTTATGTTGTAAATTTCTGTATATTTCTAAATAGTGTAGAAATAGTTTAACAAATTTTTTCTTTCATATGATTTATTTTAACTTTGTGACTGAAGCATAGGTAATAGATATGAACATGCGTCTAAGATGTATGGGCAGGTGATGTGCATGTGAAATAGTAGCATTGAAAATTACAGTCTGGCATGAGATTTTTGTGAGTATTTTCACTTGATATTCTGGTACGTCACGAACAATTTTTCCTTTAAGATCCGATTCATACAAATATTTGCTTTCATGCCTCTGCTAAAATTTAAGACAGCAGAGATAGCATCATCATGTTGACTGAGTTTATACTTCTTATGTTAAATATCACAATAAATGTAGATAAGAAAAAAGAACAAAACACAAACACCTCACACAGTTAAAGTGTGCCTTTTGATGATATTGAAATATTTTCATCCATAGCACCTTGTTAAAAAATTGAATATTTTAACCTGCTTACCAGTACATAACAGGAAGAGCAGGTATAGAATGTACTGGTATTGTAATTACCTGTATTCCAGATTAAAAAAAACCCAACAAAACAAACCTTTGATAATATTTAAACCAATCAGGTGGGAGTGGATTAGTGCCTTATGCTATATAAAAAAATAACTAGTGACTAGTTTTGTTTATATACTTGATGGTATCCCCTGAGACTGAGTACAAGCCTGAACAGGTCAAGAGTCTTAAGTTGATGTAGTTTTTGAAAAATATTCTAGACATGAGGAAGAACATCGTCGTCGTGAAGAAGAGATGCTACGCCAGAGGGAACAGGAGGAATTACGGCGACAGCAGGATGGAGGATTTAAGCCAAATTTCATGGACAACGTAAGTAAAATTCTGTGACAAAAGTCCAAATTGAAAAAGAATTTTCATATTTCTATATACTAGCTACTGAGCTGCCGCCTTCCTGTTCACTGTTTTTCCTTCAGTATTCCATCGTTCTCAGGGGTGGTACAAATATAGTAGTGTAATTATTCTCTTGTACAGTGGCATCACTGTTACTTTTCCTACAAGGTGGTGATGTAACATTCCAGTTAAGTGACGATATTCGGATAATAATTTGTCTTTTTTATTTGGGAAATGAGTTTTTCCAATAAAATAATAGAATTTTTCTAAGCGGGAGTTACCATGGGAATAAATTATGTTTCCATAAGAAGATGCTGTAGTTTGACTGAAGGTTTAAATTTTAAACCAGTTCAGGCTGTTAAGCTTGTTTTAATTGCTTTTTTTTGGTTTATGCTTAACTTATAATAAGAATGTTATACTTTAGAAACAAAATGGACAGTGTTAACTTCATATGGAGCCTAAAATCACTCTTCCCTTTGATCCTATTGTAAAACTAGATGAGGAAAACCTCAAAATATTTACTAAAGGAGACTAGAAGATTATAAAGGTGGAAAAAAAAATCTGCTATAGTTTCTGTATTATTTATATTGGTAATTCAAGTGGTTCTCTGAAGACTCATCTTGCAGGACTAGCAAAATGGCGATGTTGGAGAAGTCAGCTTCTAAATTTTCATGATCTCTTCTGGGCAAGGGTATGATTTTCTTTTTACCAACCAAAACAGTTAAATGAATGCAACCTATATTGGGAATGATTTAGTATCATGTGAGAAGGAGACCTTTTACTCTTACAGCTATTCCTAGTGAGGAAGCACTGAATAAGCATCCACAGAATGCTCTTGTACATTATTATAACAACTGTAGTCTGCAGGTGGGAATTTTGCTCCACTTTACAGGTACAACATCATACATAAATCAAAAATAAACTGCTGGTTTCTCAGCTACTTTCTGATTTTGTGTTTTGTGGAAGAAATACCGATTTTACGTTGTATACCATATCATTTTTTGTAGGGTTGAGAAGAATACATTATGTGTGTTCTGAGACTTCCTAAGAGAAGTTAGAAAAATGAAAGATTTCCTGTTCTCAGGAGAACATCTTTGCCCCATCCTCTGCCCTTAGTGTTTTTAATAAGGATGGGAAGGAAGCAAAATTGTTCCTTTGATATTACTAACAGCTATCAGTTGATTTTGCTGATTGTGTTTTGAGAAACTTGCAGCAGAAAACAATAATTTATTTTCATATGTGCTCACACTGTAAAACAAAACTGCTTTCAGCATGTCTTTTCTTTGCGGTGAAGAAGATCAAGAATTCAAAACTCATAATGTCCTCTTGTGTGTTCCCACATATTGTTAAACATACTTTGTGAAGTAGCACATAGCAATTTTCTCATGTAATTTAGAAATAGCACTTACTGATTGTGACTTCTGTCGTGCCAAATATGAAATTTAATTTCATCTTAATATGTTCACGTAGCATCTTTTGGGGTAGCCTGCCTTTTTTACCCTATAAGCTACCTGTCAAGATCCTGTGGCTGATCAGAGACCCATGCTGCTTGCTGCAGGAAGGGGAAGCTGAGGAGCCAACCCACAGGCTTGAGATGGCAGCAGCTCTCTCAGATTCCATTGCCATTAGGAGGTTGTGGCCTATACCATGCAGCTTGGTGTGCTGGAAAGACTAGATAATGTTGGCCACAGCAACGTCTGCTGGTTTTCTTCTTGTAACTGTCTTGAGATAATGTTCCTTAGCCTCTGTGCTTGAATTGCTTGCCATCAGTTTCGCCATCCTCGTGCTTATCTGCATCTTTTAATTCTGAAGTCTGTGTGAATAAAAACAGTGACAGAGCACTGGAACAGGCTTCCCAGAGAGGCTGGGGGGGCTCCATCTCTGGAGATGGTCAAAACCC